AAAAGTTTTTTTTGTTTTTTTTTTAAAAATATGGTCTCTCTGCGTAGCCCACGCGGGCCTCAGACTTGGGTGATTCTCCTGCCTCAGCCTTTGGAGTGCTGGGATAATAGGCATGTGCCACCACATCTAGCATAGAAAGCTTTAAATATAGTTGATTTTAGTCTTAAAGGTAGGAGGAACCAAGTGAGTTAGCTTTATATTATCCCTGCCTGTTCAAATAATAAAATGCTATTGAGATATGAAAATAGTGCTAGCGAAATACTGAATAATGTGGTAAGATTCATTACCTTACAAGTAATTGCAATAAGACTTTTTGAGATCTAACCTGCCTAGGATTCTAAAAGCTACCTATAGGTATATGTTTGAAGTTTTCAGATGCCAACTCCTAACCAGAAATTGATGTGTATACTCACATTACTCAGACACTTAGAAATGATGGCGTTTTAAATTTTGATTTTTGCTGGGCATGGTGGCACACTCCTATAATCCCAGCATTCAGGAGGCTGAGGCAGGAGGATTGTTGCGAGTTTGCAGCCAGGGCTACAAAGTGAGCTGAAAGCCAGCCTGAACTGCATAGCGAGACCCTGTCTCAAAAAGACCAAAAAAAAAAAGTTTTGATTATTGAGGAAATGGAGATTTTACCCATATTTAGAGACTGTGTGTTTGGTGCTGGGGATCAAACCTGGGGCCTTGTGCATGCTATGCAAGTGCTGTCCCACTAAGTTACATCTCCAGCCCTATACATTTTTAACCGTACTGCAGAATTGTTTGATTTTTTTTGTTATTCAGCTTGAGTGCTTTACACATTTTTGGCATGCCGTCTCAGGACAGTGCAGTACATGTGCAGAGTAATAATACTACTGCCATTTTCATCTGGCTGCCTCCTCGTGTGTTACATAACCGAATTCCCGCACCATGCAGTCCGCCCACACTAATCAGCTCTTTACTGATAGACACAGTTCTCCCTGCATGCCAGGGGACATCCACAAATTAAGCCATAAAACGCCACACACCCTTGCCACAAACTTTAAGCAGGTAGGGAAATAACTGTAATCCCCATGTGCTTTTTTCCTGTATCATTTATGATTTTAGGAGTATTATCTTTAGAGGTTAGTCTAAGGTCAGAAGGGTCTGCAATTTGAAAACAAGCATAAGCTGCCCACCTTTCATTTTTCTGAAAATCGGTGGACTTGTGTGCTTTGTCCTCCTTAAAATGACTGGCAGTTTGAACATGGGGCTTCTACCTGGTTTTGTTTTTTGTTTGTTTGTTTTGGTATTGGTTTTTGTCTCCTCTGATAATGACTCCTCCAACGTTTGGGAGCATGAATATACAGAATTCTGTCTTACTGGCAGTTAAAACAGAAAAGCAAAAAACTAAGAAAAACCTGCAGAGGGAAGGCTCCTTGATTAGGCAGTGCACTGTACCGTACAGCCTCCAGACCTTCACCACTTAGGTGCATGGCTTTCCAGCCCCTCCTTACCCACTGGAGAAGTCTCAGGCAAAAATAAATTCCACTGAAAGTGTTGCATTTTACACATACACCCATCCCTCTGGCCTGGGATATTCTTCCCCTGCTTTATAACCGATTGGCTTTAATCTGCCATCACACACATTGGAGAAATTTCCTGCACCTGCATTCTTCTGCTTTTTGGCTGTAGAGCACGTGAACAGACTTCTTGGGAAAGGGAGTTTACGAACAAGCCACATATGCAGGTCTTGTGTTTCCTCCACCAACGAGATGATTTTCACATATGCTCTGAATTATTAACAGATGAATGTCATTATTTCCCATACAGGAATTTTCTGAGCCAACAATCATTCTTTTTGAAAGAGAAAACTTCAAAGGAAAAAAGATTGAACTTAATGCAGAAACAGTTAATCTCCGAACCTTGGGATTCAACACACAAATACGCTCTGTTCGAGTTATTGGTGGCATGTAAGTGATCCAGTAATTTTTTTTTTTTTTTTTTTTTT